CCCGGGGAGAGCCATCTCCCGCGTCGTAGCGGCCCCCCGGGGGGCAGCGCTCCGCTCTCCGCCGGGCTTCGCACCTCTGCGGACACGCGGTGAGGCAGGTAGTTCCCGTTCCTCACGTGTCTGTTTCCACACTAGCTCTCGATGTTTCCCAAGGCTGCCCCCTTCGAGGGGAATAGCCGGCTCCTCTTGAGAGGCAGGCAGACTTGCGCTTTCCCTCTGTGGGTGCTTCAGCCCCCTTCCTCAGGGCTAGTAGATTGTGAGCCTTTTGGAGAAGGGGCAAGGTAATTTTCTCTTCATTGTCTTGTCTTGTGCAGCAATGCACGTGCAGACTTTACTGTACACGCACACATTTGTGTATGTGTAAACTGTGCATGTGTGTCATGTACTAGATGTATGTGTGTTTATATTCCTATAAATTAAATTGACATGTACACACACACCTTGTTAAATATACCCGTGAAAGCTAGGATCTATGATGATCTCGCAGCATACCCGTAGGGCATGCCAAGGGTATGGAACTGCTTGTGGAATTGAACTTTCACAGATTCTGGCCATTCACAGTCCTGAGGGAAGCTTTTTTCCTATAGATTTACTTACTACAAATTTGCATGTTATATAGAAGGGCCCTTATGATCTTTACAGTTATGAGTAAGCTGTATTTGGTAACAGCATACCTGGTTTTGCTTGATATGTATGAATGAAAAAATGCAGGCCTATTAAACGTTGTTCTCTAGGTAGTCCATGATGAGTCAGAATATATCTGTCCCGAATTGGTAGCACCTTTTTCTTTCCAAGCCACTGTCTGTCTTTGCACTGTGGGGTCTGTCTTGAGCTGTTGTATGCAGGATGTGTTGGGAGGGAGGACTATTTGGAGACCTCCCACTCAGGGGAAGATCACTGCAGACGACACAGACTTTAATGTTTCATCTCAAAGTTCTTCAGGTTACAGTATAAATATAAAAAGTCATCATGGAAATAGCTCAGTTGGTTAGAGCGTGGTGCTAATAACGCCAAGGTTCATGGGTTCAATCCCTGCTCACTGCAGGGGGGGTTGGGCTAGATGATCTCTCAAGGTCCCTTCCAACCCAAAGCATTCTATGATTCTATGAAATATACCACATTATTTACCTACTTAAATATCTCTTAGCTTCCTCTCCTTTGTCTACTTTTCTTTTTCTGTTCAGTTTAGATTATGTGTGCATGGTAGCAGAATCTTAGGTTGTTTGTGCAGCACCAAGTACAAAACCAGTACTAAGTTCTAGGGAATAGATTTGTTTTGGTTCCAGGCCTGATTTACATGTGAGCATTCGAATGCTGTGTTTAAAAACAAATCTCTAGTATCCCAACTTTGTCAAAACACAGTTTGTCTAGTCTTAGCTCTACTATTTAATGTATTTTGTTACCGACTTTCCCTTTACTCAAGGAATTTACAATGGATCAGTGTTGTGGTTTAACCCCAGTGGGCAGCTTAGCCACACACAGCCACTTACTCACTTCTCCCCAGGTAGATGGGGGAGAGAATCGGAACGGTAAAAGTGTGAAAATTTGTGGGTTGAGATAAAGACAGTTTAACAGGCAAAGCAAAAGCCACACACACGAGCAAAGCGAAACAAGGAATTAATTCACTAATTCCGATCAGCAGGCAGGTCTTCAGCCATCTGCAGGAAAGCAGGGCTCCATCACATGTAGCAGTTACCCGGGAAGACAAATGCCATAACCCTTAACGTTCCCCCTTCCTTCTCCTTAGAATCATAGAATTGTTTAGATTGGAAAAGACCTTTAAGATCATTGGGTCTGACCATTAACCTAACCCTACCACTAAACCAGTTAAGGGTAGAGTAATAATTAATTTCATGTTTCCTGGCTTGGTGGCTGGATTATTTTTTAATGAAAGTAAAAACTAGGAATCATTAAGGTTGGAAAGGACGTCTAAGATCATCAGTCCAACCTTTCCCCCAGCTTTTATTGCTGAACACAGTGCCATATGGGATGGGATGTCCCTTTGGTCAGTTGGGGTCAGCTGTCCCGGCTCTGTCCCGTCCCAGCCTCCTGCCCACCTCCAGCCTCCTCGCTGATGGGGCAGCAGGAGAAGCAGAGAAGGCCTTGATGCTGTGTAGGCACTGCTCAGCAGTAATGAAAACATCCCTGTGTTGTTATCAACACCGTTTCCAGCACAAATCCAAACCATAGCCCCATACTAGCTACTGTGAAGAAAATTAACTCTCCGCCAGCCAAAACGAGCACAACCATGTATTAGCAGCTAGAGTCTGGTTCTCTTTAGCCATGCAGTCCCCAAACAGTTACTAGACTGGGGCACTCGAACTTTGACAGTGTTGTTTAGCCGTTATCAAATCAACAGGGTAGATGGGGCCTGTGTTTCTGAGGTGGGGCTTGGGGTGAATATTCCCAAAGAAAAGGACTATCAGTTTGTCACAGAGCGAGTTTGCACATGTACCTCCCCAGGGCGGTTGGCAATTGGAAGAATCTCAGCTGCACTACAAAGGTGGGCACATAAAAGTGAGTCCTGGCTGCAGTTCTTTGTTTCTAATACGCTGGAAAGTGTTTGAAAAACTAATATACACAGCCTG